TTTTTGGTCCAAAAGTAACTTTTGTTGCTTTTTTCTGGGTTTTTAATCTCTTATTTGGGTAAATAGATGAAACTAGCAAACATCCGAAAAAAAACTGATCATGAATCCACTGTCCACATCAATTACTTTGTGAATCCTTCAGGTGCTATTAAAAATGCGCCCGGCAGGAAAAAAAAAGAGTACCCCCATAATGCTTCTAACTTTTTTTTTTTTTTTTGGTGAAATGCAAGTACTCATTCATTAGACTTCTGAATTTATTGATTTTTTTTATTACAGGTGTTCAACGAAATAAACAGCCGTGAGATTGAGAAGATAAACATTCTTCGTGGTATGTTCGATAGCTGGATATTCGTAGGTGTCATGGTTTCCACAGTAATATTCCAAGTAATAATAGTCCAGTTCCTGGGAACTTTTGCTAGCACTGTACCGTTAAGCTGGGAAATGTGGTTACTCAGCATTTTGATAGGAGCAGTGAGCATGCCTGTTGCAATTGTTTTGAAGTGCATCCCAGTTGAAAGAGAGAATGCTAAGCACCATAATGGGTATGATCTACTCCCCAGTGGTCCAGAACTTGCTTGAAAAAGGGGAGAAGGCAATACAGAATAGGTATTATCAAGTTCAAAACCCTAGAAAGTTCAAAGTGATCTGTCAAATTTTGTCGATGAAGGGCAGCATAAAAGTTCTTCAAAAAATAGGAAAAATGAAATTAAGATGAAATAAATAAAGGTGGAGACAGAAGACATGTAGCTAATGCAAGATATAACCTTCTAATCTCTAACATGACCATCTAATCTCTAGAATGTAGTTAGTTGCTATTTGAATATTTAGGTATTCTTCATAGTCTCTCTCTTTTCTCAATGCTGAAACACGCCATCATGGATCTTTGTAGAAAGTATTTTTGTGGGAAGTACTTTTTTCCAATATTTTGTAACTAGGGAACTTCAAAGGAAAATACTTTGTACAATGATCCATGATGACCTGTTTGATCTCTGAGAAAAGACATAAACTATGAAGAATGACTTGAATGTCGTGTTGGTACAAAGAAAACTCCGATCACTAGTCTTTCTGGGTTGTTTTCTCTTCCTATGTTGGAATGTCAAGTTAATGTTGTACACTGTTTTCGTTGCATTTAAACGACAATATCTCAATTTCTCGACCAGTAAATTTGTTAGAACTTTTGTCTCCCCCTTTTTTTTGTTTTCCCCCTCAATTCAAGAATACTTTCCATGCTTTCTAGAATGTAATTGTCTCCTCTACGGTGAGAAACTATTGTAGTTGTCGACTGTTTTACTTTATTTTAACCGACTTCTACACCCATTTTTGTTCCTTATTTGCAATTTTATCGGTTCATAATTTGTATGTAGAGCTGGAAAATGTGATACAAGTGCAATCTTTCCTGTTTCTCTTTTTGTTTTCTAGCTTTTGTAATAGTATATTATGATACATGATGATCAGTGTATGCAGCTACTGATGGGATGCTTCGTTATACAAGAAAGATTTGTGATTGAACTACACGATATTTTCTTATCTGGTTCAGATTGGATGTATAACATATGAATTTTGTCTGTAAAAATGTTTAGATAAAATTTATTGATCGAATTTACTATCACAGTTGAATTTGCAATGGATAACAATTTGAATTGGTTTTACTGCCAATTCAATGGTAACATAGATTTTTTAAAGAAGAGTCATTGGGTGAACTGGTTGCATTTATGCCCTAAAATGTATATAAAAACAAATATAATTGATAGATAGACATTGCAAAGCTCCTCCACTTACTTCATCATAAGATGGGTTGAGCAACTTTTAGAATATAATAAAAATAAATATAGTGATAAATGATCGTCTTGCCTTATTCTCGGTTTTTTATGAAAATAACTTATTTGTTTACCATTAATCATTAGATCTGTTGTAATTAAATGAAGGGCAAATCTGACTTTGTTTTTTGAAAAATGTTTCAATTTTTAGTATGTACTTTCAAATATTAAAAATTTTAATTTGTACCCTTAATGTTATAATGCTTTGCTCAAAAAAATAAAACATACCATACTGAGTTAGAAAGATGATATCTTGAAGTGTATTCACAAGTGAAAGCATGAATGTGTAAAATCACGGTAGTTGATAAAATGTCCTTCATATTCGATCAATCAAATTGGCAGAAAGTGGACGATAAGCATTAGATTTTTATTTGTCTAATTTTTTTCATAACGCTAAGTGAATGATATGAAAAGCTTTAGTAGAGTAACTTGTAATTCCTCTCTCGTCAATTGTCATTTTAGAGAAATTTGTGGGAAAAATTAGTGAGATGACAAACACAATTTTAGTGGTGGGACTTTCATTCGGTAATGGGGAGTCCTTTGGTCGCTTATTTACAATTTCAAAATGATATTGTTTTTCATTGGACGCCCAATAACAATTAAATTATAATCAATATGTAAAAACAAAGTTAAGAGAAACTGTAAGATTTGACAATTAATAAATGCATATGTCTTTGGAATTGGAATTAGCATAAATATATAAGTAATAAAAAAAAATTATGGTGGGCCTATGCGTCCCAGTCCATTGTTACTAAAATATGTGAAATTCACGTGCTCACATGTTATCTTTTTGTTGGACGGTTACATCATATCAGTATGATAACACGGTGTAACGGTTACACCCAATGTTATTTTTTCCATCATGAGAGGTGTGTTTAAGGGAGTTTGTGCACTGTAGAAGACCATACCAGATGAGTATAAAATAGAACTTTATCAAAAACCATAAAAAGAAAAAAAGCTAGTCAACTAATTCTTTGTATTGACTATTTGTCTAAACCCAATCTAATGATAAGAGCAATAGAAGAAAAACGAAAAACTATAAACTATAAACGCGTATACCTACCACCACGTGACTATTGAACTCCCGAATTTGCATATTGTCATTGTGTTTTACCCTTGTTACATATTACCTCCCCAAATTTTGAAAACTTACATATAATCCACTATAATTTTGGATCAATTCGAAACTATTACTACTTTTGTTTAAATCGATGAAAAGTAATTTCACCCGCCCCCCCCCCCCCCCCCCCCCCCCCCCTTCCCGCGCGACCCGGGGAAAAAAGTGTTTTAAAATCAAGTAATGACATGCTTAGTAAAACCCTATATTCAGAGGTGGCCTGTGATATTGTGGGCCTAAAGCGATAATTAAAAAAGCGATTTATTCTTCTTGTTTTTTAAGATATAAAAGTACTAATTAAATTTTTATGTTCAAATTTTGCTGTCATATTTTTTTTTTCGATTAATAATATGGCTAATCTGCTTAATATTTCTTGTGGCATATTTAATCTTAGATAAGATTTTATTAATTTTAATTTTAAAATTTTTTTTTTATGCAGAAGCAACATTTATATCTATAATATAAAACATGGTAGAATTTAATAAATCCATCTGATGGTATCAAATAGACTCATCTAACGATTACTAACATTCCTCTCAAAATTATTCATATTACATTGTACGTTCGGGTTCGAGTTATCCCTAGTTTACAGATAAGGAATAAGCGATTAAAAAAAATATTAAAAAGTGGGAAGAAAGTATGGAGTAAGGACTCTTGAGTTGACCTTTACTTTTTATCGTTACTTTTTGTTATTTTTAAAAACTTTTTGTAGTGTTTTTGGCATGTCTCTTTTGATACTTCAGTTAGTCAGTGTGTGAGAACAATAATACAAGTACTATAGTGTACGGTGATAACACTTGCGTCCCTGAAACCTAACTCTTCGGCTATTTATATCTTGAGGGAAACTGACAACTGTTTTAGAGAAGAGAAAAATCTTCCTATCATTCCACGTGTATGGTAAGTGTTTGCCTCATTGGAGGCTCTCTCCATCTTGTTGTAGGATGGCTTTGAGCGGTGCATTTACTATGCTTAGAAATAGCTTAAAGGTGACTGGCAGTATTAATGATTATCCTACTCACATTCAAACATTAAATGACGATCTATCACTCGATTGGTCCACGTGTGTGAAAGTTATAACGTCTTTCCAATATTTATTGGATCATGTGTTGGTCCCCACGTGGGTACAATAGCATAGCTGATCATTCTTTGTCACCTGAGTAGATAAACCCGAACTAATGGCCCATTTTAGTGCGAAACACCGGATACTAGTCGATGTACAGAGCCTAATCTATCAGTTGGACGAACATAGTACAACTCAGGGGGGGTCCTAAGATAGTACCCTTCTACACCAAGGTCATAATGGATGGAGAAGTTAGATTCCTCCTGGCCCCGTGCGACTTAGATTCTTGATGCACTTCAGGCACTGCCTGAACGTGTTTAGGATGGTCATGGGAGTTGTAACTCTGAACTCCCTGCTACGAATTAACTTAGGAGTGGCGGAGATCCTCTTCTACTATATGAGATGTTATTGACATCTTCCAAAAGTTATCACCTCAAAGTGCAGGACCCTTCCATGTACTTGGTGACCAACCTATTTGTCTCTAACAAGGGACATACGCAAGCACACCTAACTTGACAACCTGGTGGTTCTTCGGTCTATGTTTTTCCGTGTGCCTCAATTGGCCTCAGGCGAGGTGACTTCACCGAGGTGCAGTTGAGGGGAACGTATTTGGACTATTAAAGAAGAGAAGAAATGAAAAGAAGCCAAGTTATCATATTGGTGTACCATTAGAATTGAGCGACAACCTCAATTGTAATTTTGGAAATAAACCCTTGCACAATTAAGAAAACCAATTTTTCACATTGAATGTGACAACGATTCAGGGTGTTGTGTAGTTAAAAAAACGTTCAAGTCCTTTGGTTTCAGCTATCAGTTTTGGCTTATACATGGTATGTTTCATACATGGACAGTAGTCCAGTAGAACTACACTATCTGAGACACATAAGATGGAAATCCTTGTATTTTCTTCTTGTACAAGGCCAAATTATGATTTCGGATAGCTTTTTCCTACCGAATATGAAAGGAAAATGGAAAAAATGCTATTCAAAGGCATGAGTTAAATTTATATGTTACACAACAATGGGATGAAATTGACAAATAAGCTATATAAGCTAACTTACTCTTTAGACAAGCAACGGTCAGATATTCACACCGAGGTGCTTAATTGGTTTGAACATTTATATGTTGAGGAAACAGTTGCTCGTACCTTGTGCCAGCATACATTACATTTGAGTTGTATTTGCATACACATGTTTGTGTATATTTTCCGGTTTTAACATCCTTTTTTCCCAACTCCGAAGTCTTTTTTTCCAGTACATCAAATTGGATAGTCCCAGTCAAATTGATTGCTTGTAATGATTTCCATCAAGTAAAGACTAACTGGGTGTAGTAGCCTGAATACCCTGTTCATTACAGCCAATAGGACCTATGAGCTAATGGTCATTGCACTTGCTTTGGGCAAGCTATCATATGGATGTACCATGCAACTAATGCTTAAGTTCAGATTCTTTTGTAATTTCTAGACATAGTTTACTGTATCATAAAACAATCAAAGCTAAGCTTCATAAGATCTACTTGAAAACCCATCATTTTGCTAGGTTCTTGCTATTCAGACAGTACTTAAAAGATGATGTATGTAATGTTGGATCAACACCCACAGCAGCAGGGGGGTTGTTGGTCCCGCTTAATTCAGTAGATTTAATATTGCTTCTTTTTCTTTGTTTATTTAAAACTTACCAGGATGATTTACGACTTGTCTTTAATGCTTATAAGGTTGCATTCAGGTTTCTTGATGGTATGTATTATATTCCTTCTTTAAGTTAATGGTTTGTCATCTAACTTTTAAATCCTATATTTGTTTTCCATTATGTGTTCTATTTTAATCTGTCTGCTTGCACAGCTGTTGGACAAAGTGACAGCAAGCTGGCACAAGGGACTAGAGAAGCAAGCTCTGAAGATGAGCTTTTGGAAGAGGTTGGGAGAGCAGCTTTGGAAGGTGAGCTCTCGGATGAAGCCAGAGAAGCTAGCTTTAACATTCACCCAGATAAACTTGCATCTGTCGTCCGTAACCATGAAATCAAGTCCTTGAGATTACTCAGAGGAGTTGAAGAGCTTGCAAGCAGAGTAAAAGTCTCGTTGAATGAAGGAGTCAAAACAAGTGATGTGAGCATCAGGCAGAAGATATATGGCTTTAACAAATATACTGAGAAACCTTCTAGAAGTTTTTGGATGTTTGTGTGGGTTGCTTTGCAGGATTTAACTCTTGTTATCCTCATGGTTTGTGCTGTGGTTTCAATAGGTGTGGGACTTGCCACTGAAGGATGGCCAAACGGCATGTATGATGGGTTGGGAATCGTAATTAGTATATTCTTAATAGTCATTGTTACAGCAGTCAGTGACTACAAGCAATCCTTGCAATTTAAGGACTTGGATAAGGAGAAGAAGAAGATATTTATTCAGGTCACTAGGGATAAACATAGACAAAAGATCTCCATATACGACCTGGTCATCGGAGATGTTGTTCATTTAGCCACAGGAGACAAAGTTCCAGCTGATGGGATATTTATATCAGGATACAGCTTGTCGGTGGACGAGTCAAGTTTGTCAGGCGAGAGTGAGCCAGTAAATATAGATGAAAAAAAACCTTTTCTTCTCACAGGAACCACAGTGCAAAATGGATCAGGTAAGATGCTGGTAACGGCTGTTGGTATGAGAACGGAATGGGGTAAGTTGACGGAGACTCTAAATGAGGGTGGAGAAGACGAAACGCCACTGCAGGTGAAGCTGAATGGTGTTGCTACAATCATCGGTAAGATTGGATTGGGTTTTGCTGTGCTGACATTTGTTGTGCTGACAGTAAGATTCTTGGTGGAGAAAGCACTTCACCATAAGTTTACAGATTGGTCTTCCAGTGATGCCCTGAAACTTTTGAACTACTTTGCTACTGCAGTAACTATAATTGTTGTTGCAGTTCCAGAGGGACTACCACTGGCAGTTACACTGAGCCTCGCTTTTGCAATGAAAAAAATGATGAATGAGAAGGCACTCGTAAGGCATCTCTCTGCATGTGAGACAATGGGTTCTGCTACTTGCATTTGCACGGATAAGACAGGGACACTGACGACAAACCATATGGTTGTTGATAAGTTCTGGATATGTGGGAAGTCTAAAAGGGTAAAAGGTGGGGAGCGTGGAGATATATTGAATTCAGAAACATCAGAAAAGTTTATAAACATCCTCTTCCAAGCAATATTTCAAAATACAAGTTCTGAGGTGGTCACAGATAAAGATGGAAAGAAATCCATTTTGGGAACAGCAACGGAGTCAGCATTGCTAGAATATGGCTTGCTTCTGGGTGGTGATTTTGATGCTCATCACCAGGAGAATATTATCCTGAAGATTGAACCTTTCTGTTCAGACAAGAAAAAGATGTCTGTTCTAGTGTCTCTTCCCGAAGGTGGGTTCCGAGCCTTTTGCAAAGGTGCATCAGAGATTATTTTAAGAATGTGTGACAAGGTCGTTGATACCAATGGGGAACCTCTACATATGTCAGAGGAACAAACAAAAAATATCAGTAATGTCATCGATGGTTTTGCCTGTGAAGCTTTGAGAACCCTTTGCTTGGCCTTTAAGGATTTTGACTACTGTCCAAATGATAATAGCATCCCTAATAGCGGCTACACATTGATAGCAGTGGTTGGAATTAAGGACCCAGTTCGTTCAGAGGTTAAGGATGCAGTTCAAACTTGTTTAGCAGCAGGAATTACTGTGCGTATGGTCACTGGTGACAATATTAACACAGCTAAAGCCATCGCTAAAGAATGTGGAATACTGACTGAAGATGGTTTGGCCATAGAAGGACCAGAATTTCGCAGCAAAACGCTTGAGGACTTGAAGGATATAATACCTAGAATTAAGGTTCACATTTAATTGCATTAAAGCAAGTAATATTTCAATAACAGGTAATGGTAGATGTACTTCTTTTATATACTGATTAGGTAGTGAATACAGGTATTAGCACGGTCTTCACCTATGGACAAGCACACCTTGGTAACCCACCTGAAGAATATGTTCAAAGAAGTTGTTGCAGTTACTGGTGATGGCACTAATGATGCTCTTGCTCTGCGTGAAGCAGACATTGGACTTGCTATGGGTATAGCAGGAACAGAGGTTTGTGTATACGCACTTTGGCCAGGCAGTCTCTGAACACGTTCATTCAACGTCATTATTTTTGTTCTGATTCCTATAGTTATTGTTCTTTCTTCCACCCAACACTGATTAGAACTATCAAATTATTGGTTTTTTTATTATTTTGAATTCTTACTTGAGTCGGAGTTTGTGCTACTTTCCGTACTTGGATTATTTTTCATGAGGTTTCTGATAGATTCTTATCTTGATAACCCTCATTTTTTCTCAGTCAAAAGAATTTTCTGCACCGATTCATAACTGATAGCAAGAATTGATTTGAAAGAGTGGAAAATTTTAACCTTAGTGTCCTTTCATCAATGGAGTTCAAGTGTTTGGTTCTAACTTCAGTGCAACTGAGCAGTTACACTAAGATCCCCATGATTTCCACCCACATAAAGAATATCGATTATGAGAGATTCCTATGCACAATTTACTTCAATAGGTGCAATCTTTTAAACTATTGCATCATTTCTGCAAATTCTGTTACCAATTTTTCTTTATATTTTGTCTTACTTCACAAAATATTTGCAGGTTGCAAAAGAAAGCGCTGATGTCATTATACTGGATGACAATTTTACAACCATAGTGAATGTAGCTAAATGGGGACGTACTGTATATATCAACATTCAGAAGTTTGTGCAGTTCCAGTTAACTGTCAATGTTGTCGCACTAATGATCAATTTTCTTTCTGCATGCATCTCAGGTGAGTTGGTCAATATCGCTCTGATGATCAATTTTCTTTCTGCATGCATATCGGGTGAGGTGGCTTTTTCATTCATGCAATATCACCAATTATCATCATCACCATCTTCTCTGTAACTTTCAGGATCTGGACTCCTTACGGTTGTGCAGTTGCTATGGGTCAACCTGATTATGGACACACTAGGTGCATTGGCATTGGCTACGGAACCGCCAAATGAGGGACTGATGGATAGGCCTCCTGTTAGGAGAGATGTGAGTTTTATTACCAAGGCCATGTGGAGAAATATTATTGGTCATAGTGTTTATCAACTGGCTGTCCTTTTAGTTCTTAATTACAATGGGAAGCAACTTTTGAGACTTACAGGATCAGATGCTACAGCCATTCTCAAGACTTTCATATTCAACGCCTTTGTCTTTTGTCAGGTATTATTTGAGGTTTAGAATATTATTTCGATCAAGTTATGTTTGCTAGTTCACTTGGCCACTATTACATCATTTTTGGTCCAAAAGTAACTTTTGTTGCTTTTTCTGGGTTTTTAATCTCTTATTTGGGTAAATAGATGAAACTAGCAAACATCCGAAAAAAACTGATCATGAATCCACTGTCCACATCAGTTACTTTGTGAATCCTTCAGGTGCTATTAAAAATGCGCCCGGCAGGAAAAAAAAGGAGTACCCCCATAATGCTTCTAACTTTTTTTTTTTTTTTGGTGGAATGCAAGTACTCATTCATTAGACTTCTGAATTTATTGATTTTTTTTATTACAGGTGTTCAACGAAATAAACAGCCGTGAGATTGAGAAGATAAACATTCTTCGTGGTATGTTCGATAGCTGGATATTCGTAGGTGTCATGGTTTCCACAGTAATATTCCAAGTAATAATAGTCCAGTTCCTGGGAACTTTTGCTAGCACTGTACCGTTAAGCTGGGAAATGTGGTTACTCAGCATTTTGATAGGAGCAGTGAGCATGCCTGTTGCAATTGTTTTGAAGTGCATCCCAGTTGAAAGAGAGAATGCTAAGCACCATAATGGGTATGATCTACTCCCCAGTGGTCCAGAACTTGCTTGAAAAAGGGGAGAAGGCAATACAGAATAGGTATTATCAAGTTCAAAACCCTAGAAAGTTCAAAGTGATCTGTCAAATTTTGTCGATGAAGGGCAGCATAAAAGTTCTTCAAAAAATAGGAAAAATGAAATTAAGAAGAAATAAATAAAGGTGGAGACAGAAGACATGTAGCTAATGCAAGATATAACCTTCTAATCTCTAACATGACCATCTAATCTCTAGAATGTAGTTAGTTGCTATTTGAATATTTAGGTATTCTTCATAGTCTCTCTCTTTTCTCACTGATGAAACACGCCATGATGGATCATTGTAGAAAGTATTTTTGTGGGAAGTACTTTTTTCCAATATTTTGTAACTAGGGAACTTCAAAGGAAAATACTTTCTACAATGATCCATGATGGCCTGTTTGATCTCTGAGAAAAGACATAAACTATGAAGAATGACTTGAATGTCGTGTTGGTACAAAGAAAACTCCGATCACTAGTCTTTCTGGGTTGTTTTCTCTTCCTATGTTGGAATGTCAAGTTAATGTTGTACACAGTTTTCGTTGCATTTAACCGACAATATCTCAATTTCTCAACCAGTAAATTTGTTAGAACTTTTGTCTCCCCCTTTTTTTTGTTTTCCCTCTCAATTCAGGAATACTTTCCATGCTTTCTAGAATGTAATTGTCTCCTCTACGGTGAGAAACTATTGTAGTTGTCGACTGTTTTACTTTATTTTAACCGACTTCTACACCCATTTTTGTTCCTTATTTGCAATTTTATCAGTTCATAATTTGTATGTAGAGCTGGAAAATGTGATACAAGTGCAATCTTTCTTGTTTCTCTTTTTGTTTTCTAGCTTTTGTAATAGTATATTATGATACATGATGATCAGTGTATGCAGCTACTGATGGGATGCTTCATTATACAAGAAAGATTTGTGATTGAACTACACGATATTTTCTTATCTGGTTCAGATTGGATGTATAACATATGAATTTTGTCTGTAAAAATGTTTAGATAAAATTTATTGATCGAATTTACTATCACAGTTGAATTTGCAATGGATAACAATTTGAATTGGTTTTACTGCCAATTCAATGGTAACATAGATTTTTTAAAGAAGAGTCATTGGGTGAACTGGTTGCATTTATGCCCTAAAATGTATATAAAAACAAATATAATTGATAGATAGACATTGCAAAGCTCCTCCACTTACTTCATCATAAGATGGGTTGAGCAACTTTTAGAATATAATAAAAATAAATATAGTGATAAATGATCGTCTTGCCTTATTCTCGGTTTTTTATGAAAATAACTTATTTGTTTACCATTAATCATTAGATCTGTTGTAATTAAATGAAGGGCAAATCTGACTTTGTTTTTTGAAAAATGTTTCAATTTTTAGTATGTACTTTCAAATATTAAAAATTTTAATTTGTACCCTTAATGTTATAATGCTTTGCTCAAAAAAATAAAACATACCATACTGAGTTAGAAAGATGATATCTTGAAGTGTATTCACAAGTGAAAGCATGAATGTGTAAAATCACGGTAGTTGATAAAATGTCCTTCATCTTCGATCAATCAAATTGGCAGAAAGTGGACGATAAGCATTAGATTTTTATTTGTCTAATTTTTTTCATAACGCTAAGTGAATGATATAAAAAGCTTAAGCAGAGTAACCTGTAATTCCCCTCTCGTCAATTGTCATTTTGGAGAAATTTGTGGAAAAAATTTGTGAGATGACAAATACAATTTTAGTGGTGGGACTTTCATTCGGTAATGGGGAGTGCTTTGGTTGCTTATTTACAATTTCAAAATGATATTATTTTTCATTGGACGCCCAACAACAATTAAATTGTAATCAATATGTAAAAACAAAGTTAAGAGAAACTGCTAGATTTGACAATTAATAAAGGCATATGTTTTTGGAATTGGAATTAGCATAAATATGTAAGGAATACAAAAAATTATGGTGGGCCTATGCGCCCTAGTCCATTGTTACTAAAATATGTGGAATTTACGTGCTCACATGTTATCTTTTCATTGAACGGTTACACCATATCAGTATAATGACACGGTTACACCAAGCTCGATCCAAAAAAATATTTTGAAACCCTAGTCCGACCTAACTCATGGACACCCTATCCCTACCCCCCACCCCACCGCACCTCACCTCACCTCACCTCACCTCACCCACCCAAACATCATAGAAAAAATATCCATTAATGTTCTAAATTAATTTTTAAAAAAAATTAAATGTAAGTAGTTACTAAAAATAATGAAAATTCAAATTTAACTTTTGGGTAGTTAACAAAAATAGTAGAAAAATGTTACATATGACGCATGTAAGAGTTTAATTAAAAATTATGTGAATTTAATATTTGAAATAGTAAGGCTTCTCAAGCACACTCTCCCATGATTTCATTGTTATATATTGTTACAATAAGTGTCTCATATCCAATATATAGAGAGGTACATCAGGCTAAAAAATAATGGGTCAGTTGTGCTTTGACAACTAGTCGTCTAGCGGATTTGAATTACTGTTGAAGTCGAAGTTAGGAGAGCCATAAGCGCCTTTGAGATTTGCCCTAATTAGGGTTATAATTTATAAATTTATAAATATATATATATATATATATATATATATATATATATATATATATATATATATATATATATATATTAAGTTGTAATCCTGTTTCAGTATGGAATAAAAAAATAAGGTTGCTGTTTTTTCGTGGATCTAATCAAGTTACCGAATCACATAAAATTCTTGTGTTACATCTTCTAATTTTTCTGTTTTTTGATTGTTTATCTCACGCAAATCACAACATATATAATAGTAGGGATGCAATAGACCACAACATGATCTTTGGTGTCTAAATTTGATTTAATACATTTTTTTTTTAAATTTCATTGAAAGGGATGTAAGACTCATTATTTATAAGCGAGTCAATCATTATGGGGAGTAAATATTGGGTGTAACAGTGACACCATATAATCATTGACATATGATATCATTACCCAATAATAAACCTACAAATAGGCAAGGTAAATCCTACTTGAGTGATTATTAAATGATATGACATGATAGTTACTAGACACTGGTGGAGCCATAAATTTTGTTTAGAGTGAACATCTTAACTATAAAATTAAATTTTTTTTCTTTCACTTGATAAAAGTAATGTAACACATTTAAATTTAATATATTATATTGATACTCAAACATTTATTACATACAAAAATGATTCAACATCGATATGCATAACATATACAAAAATAATAATAAAAAAGACTAATTATAATTATTTACAATTGATTTTGAAGAATTTTCATACTTTAAAGACTTTGTATGATGACTTCATCATCCATACTATCAAAAGTATCTTTATATATATATATAAATAATTAACCCACTCGTTTGATTATGTAACTTAATCTTTACAATTTTCATAACTTAAAAATATAAATTCGACATATCAAAAATTTGTCTAGACGTGTCTATAAAGTGTAAAATGTGTCAAAAAATTTATAATTAATTAAGTATTTGTCTATACTACTTGATAGAACAAAAAATTGATAAATTGAATACAAAATATATACGGTGAGCACCATAAAATATACCAAAAACTTTTAGAAATATATAAGTAATAATTTTTTTAAAAAAATTTAGGGTGGGCCTGTGCCCTTTGGTCTACTGTTACTAAACTATGTGAGATTCTCATGTCCACGTGTTATTTTTTCATTGAACGGTTACATCATATCAATATAATGATATGGTCTAACAGTTACACCCAACATTTTTTCTAGTACAAGAGGTGTATTTGAGGAAATTATAGACTGCAGTTGACCATACCACATGCCATAAAAAGAAAAAAAGCTTGTCAACTAATTGTTTGTATTGACTATTTGTCTGCATGCAATCTAATGATTATGGGTGTTTACCCTATCCTACAGGTAGGAAATATTTTTTCCTGTCTTCTTACTCGATACTTTGCGGAAGAGTTTTTCTTGGCTTACCCTACCCAAAAGTTGTGATATTCCTACTCGACTTCCTACCCGATTAATCGGGTAGGAAGTCGGGTAAACATTTTTGTAACAATTAATTTTTAGATCATTTTAATAATTTAATTAAATAACATCCACCAATTTAACAACACAATAAATCAATTAACACTAAAATCTAAAACAACTATAACAAAAATTATAATAAAACACAAGAAAGTATGAACATCAATCCACCATAATTGTTACACAAATACAATAACAATTAATTTAAGTTTAAACTTTAAACCATATGAAGTACATTAAAATCATAATTACTTCGTTGTGATAGTTCACCACAAATCATGTAACGGATCTGTTACTGTAGATAAAGGTCTGCGATCAGACCTTCTAAGCCAGACCACACCAGAGAGAGAGAGAGAGAGAGAGAGAGAAAGGGAGAGAGAGAGAACCTGGGTGGGAAGTCTAGAACGATGAAGTAGGAGCAGTTGAGTGACCAAGTGAGGTGTGAGGTGTGAGGTGCAGACACTCTTAGGACTCGATAGATTAGGGTTTTTTTACTATATATATATATTTTTAAAAAAAATTATTGCGGGTAAGGTAGGGTAAGAATGCGAAAATGAATGTCTATTCCGTATTTTTATTCGAAAATTATCGAAAGATCAAAGATTCTTCTATATTTTACCCAATTTTTACAACTAGTCGTTGAATAGAGTAGGATAAGGTCGAGTAGACTAAGAACTTGCGACTGGTTAAAAATTTGAACACTCGTACTAATAAGGATAAGAACAAAAGAAGAAAAACGAAAAACTATAAACGCGTATACCAACCACCACGTGACTATTGAACTCCCGAATTTGCATATTGTGATTGTGTTTTACCTCCCCAAAATTTGAAAACTTACATATAGTCCACTATAATTTTGGATCAATTCGAAACTATTACTACTTTTGTTTAAAATCAAGTAATGACATGCTTAGTAAAACCCTATACTCAAGTGCGGCTTGTGACATTGTGGGCCTAAAACAACATTAAAAAACAATTTATTCTTCTCATTTTTTAAAATCCCAATATTTGTATGTTTTATTAAATTCTACTCCCTTAGTTTTAATATAACATCATACATAAAAATTAATTTGATTGAAGCTTGACATATAATAGAAACGACCTACCAAAATTTTAGATAATTACACTTATCTTCTTAAAACTTTCAAAAATATTTGAATCTCGCCATTATTAAATAATTTAATTCAATGCAATGTATAACCCATATCTCATAGTGTTGTGATGGCGACAATAACTATATGACTTGGTGGATTTAGGTGTGTGGGTTTATATATGTGCAGTTAGTGTGTGAAAGAGGAGAAGAAGATAAACACAAAGTAGAAGGTGAGTGTTTGGTTTTAAGGTTAGTTGTGGTGAGGTTAAAGTTAAGGATAAGTAAATAGGTAAAAACACAAACTTTGTTACATTTACAAAAACTGATAGGGGATGTAGTAATATTTCAAACAATTGAAAGGGTGTCGCTGTAATTACATTAATTATCAGGGTTGTCGTTGTAAGTTGTCCTAAAAGAAAATAAATTTTGAAAAAAAAGCGCGTATTGACTCTTTCCAAACAAAAGAGCAACAGCAAGTACAGGACTTGATCACTACAGTTTCTTCTCTACTTCTGCAGCTCTGCTCCTTTCTCTCTCTCTCTGTGTGCGTGAGCGCGCATTTCCTATACTACGCACATATCGTCACATAGTTCTCTCCGCAATGGATGAACTACTGATGCCCTTAGATATTCTGCCGAAGAATGCTTCAAAAGAAGCGTTGGAGAGGTGGAGATCGGCTGTGACGGACGTACTGAATTCAGGAAGAAGGTTCCGTATGGTGGCCGATCTCGTCAAGCGGAAACAGGAAGTGTTGAAAAGGTGGAGATCGGCTGTGACGGACGTACTGAATTCAAGAAGAAGGTTCCGTATGGTGGCCGATCTCGTCAAGCGGAAACAGGAAGTGTTGAAAAGGTGGAGATCGGCTGTGACGGACGTACTGAATTCAAGAAGAAGGTTCCGTGTGGTGGCCGATCTCGTCAAGCGGAAACAGGAAGTGTTGAAAAGGTGGAGATCGGCTGTGACGGACGTACTGAATTCAAGAAGAAGGTTCCGTATGGTGGCCGATCTCGTCAAGCAGGTACACTTTCTTACCCTCTCTTTGTGTGAGATTTACTATCGATAGAATCAATTTGAACCAATTCACAAAGTTTTATCCATTTTAACAATTAATTAATCAAGCACAACGTGGTGTGAGTTAATAAAATCTCATGTAATAAATATGGGAGTGTTCAACCCACTTGTTTGCTGTTTTTCACTCCTCTTTGGGATTCCATCATGAATTGTCCGACTCGGCTTGCGTCAATTGTGTTAAACTCAAATTACACCCATTCTATCATGTTGTATCCAATTCAATACCGGTTTTGTTGTGACACGTGGATTTGGTGGAACATATATCTTTAACTGTTCGGTTGGGTGAGTTGTATAGGCTCTATAATTATATAATTATATGAGCAATGCTATAGGGACTAAATTTGGGGATCTAATCTAGGTCCCTGCATTAGGTCCCTAAATTAGTTCCAAATAGCATTTTCCTAATTATATAAGCCTGAAGGGAAGTGGATGTCATTGATATTTACTCTTCTTTTTGATTATGCACTATGGTTTGTTATTAAGGATTTTTGGACCTTCGATTTTTCTTATTTTGGAGGTAAAATTGTAGGATTTTGATCCTCGACCAAATTGAAGAATTTAACAATAAAATTTCAATCAAGTTTAATCATTGTTCGTTAAGTTGCTGTGTTCCTTTGATTTTTAATGCGATCCATCAAATCCATTAATAGTGAAAGAGAAATTGTAAAATCCACCATGTTGCTTCATAGTATTGGTGTCAATATATGTATCAACAAAACAATGCAATGTAAGAGCACAACTGCACAAGAGATAAAGAATAAAATATCCTATCTACATAATATGTGTACTGACTTGACTAAAGATATGCATGCCAGGTATAAGTGGTCAAGTTGTAGTAATAACTTTGTCAAGTCTGAGGTCGTATTCACAGGGAATCAATGTTGGTATTTTAAGCAGAAGATCAATAGAGACAAGAGTGAAAGAAAACTTTTAAAATGATTGGTTGTGTTGGGTTGAGTTACGTGCTAGAGAAAATGTAAGGTTCTTCAACAATAATGAAAATCACTCTTTATCTTGGGGATTTGAAAATGTACACAAGTGTTTGAGCGCTATATTTGTGCAATATTGATAATTCAGTTATCCCTTGCGGCAACCGCAAATTAAGCGGAAGATAATGATTGATTTTATGTTAAAGAGCTGAGCTTCGACATTATGCATAGAGTTATAAACATTGAATATGCTAGAACTTAATCTGTCTATAACTAATCAAACAACTTTAACAAAATGTCCAGCTTAATAAGTTAATCAATCATATGGTTAAGCACAATAGAAATAAAGATTGAAAGATTGTCACGAACACCTAACTTCGGTACTTGTAGAGAATCATAAGCATCACCTATAATAAGACTTAACTTGTATATGGGTTTTGCTAGATACATTCAATAATTTAAAAGTTAGATGAAACAATTAAGCATAATAGAAATTAGACAAATATATTACCCAAATAATACTTTACAAATCCTTCACCATTCATTAAAGAGTAGTTAGAAATTAGAAAAATATATTACCCAATTAATACTTTACAAATCCATCACCATTCACTAAAGAGTGGATGAAAAACTATTCACTCTTCATAGCCACAACTGAGAGAATCTCATCCCTCTAAGTAAAGAGAACTAAAATTACAAAAGATGAATATAAGCTTTTTTTCATTAAAGAGTGAATGAAATACTACTCTCTCCTCATGTCTTCTAAGGAGGCTAGAAAAGTGAGAGAAGTTCATCCCTTCAAATGAAGAAAAGTAACATTACAAAGGATAAGTACAATGCTTCTTTCTTCACAAAAGAATAAATGAAATATTACTCACCTTTCATGGTTACAAAGGAGCTAGAAAGGTGAGAGAAGTTCATTCCTCCAAATTAAGAAGAGAGCTTACAAGAAATGTGGAAGTTAGGAAATGTAAACACTACAAAAACTAAAGAGAATTTGAGGGAGAAGTGCTTTCAAGCAACCTCCAAGCATGCCTCTCTCCTAAGGACAAGAGGGGGTATTTATGGAGGAAGATGGGCGGCAAGGAAAGCCAATTCTAAAGCTTAAAATCAAAAGAAAAAATGTAGCTTTGGGGAGTAGTGTCTGGACGGTGGCAGTGGTATCTTGATGGTGAAAACTCTTTGGAACAGGATTTTTGAGGCTTTATTATACATTTAGAGAAGGGCGTCCGGATGTTGACAGTGGCGTCGAGATGTGGTCTTGTACAAATTTTTTTCAAACTTTGCGATAGTTTGTCAGGAATCTCAGATGGGTGGTGGTGTCTGGACGATGCTAGTGGCATCTGGATGATGGCAGTGGCATCCGGATGGTGGCAGCTTTCTAGAAACTTTTGTTTTTTCCTACTTTATGATGAACTTGATGGGTATCCCAAGCAACATTTTTGCAAACAAAAGGAATATCAATTTCGATGTACTTTGTACTTGTGTATTGAACTGGGTTGGCAGCAAGATATGTGGCACTATTGTTGTCACAATGTATCATTGTTGGATTCTTCTTTGAAATATGAAGGTCACATAAAAATGAGTGAAGTAATTAAGTTTCAGCCACTGTGTGCGCAACAACACGATATTTTGCTTTGGTGCCAGAATGAGAAATGGTGGGTTGTTTCTTAGTAGACCATGAAATGAGATTGGGACCAAAAAAGCCATAATAACCTATAGTAGGTTGGTAGCAAGGTTTTTAAAATCGAGATCCTACCTTGGATCGATGGGAGTTATTGTAAGATCAGGATCGTATGATCGAATCGAGAATCGTAAGATCCTTCCTATTAAAGAAAATAGAACTAAAAATACAGTGATAATCAAAGATTTCAATGAACCAAACCTTGTCTCAATACTTAATGTAAATATATGATGATAGACATATCTATAAAATGCGTACCATAAGTTAACTCAAATAAAATTGAGAATATAGCTGAAAAGGTAGACCTTTCACATTAATATTGTAACATTCAAGTAATAAAACAGAGACGAGTCTAATACTATAGGGCTATAATAGCAAAATCCAAAAATTACAATTTAAGTTAAAGTTGTAATAGGGTAATAACAAAAAACAGAGGCAAAACTAATCCCAGACAATAACGTTTTAAAAAACCCATACAAGAGGTAAACATCAAGGACAAAAAACAAAGAAAACATAGAGATATCACATTTTGTTTCAAAATCAGTAAAAAAAAGAAGGTTATGTGACTATGTAAGATTAGGATTGTGGGATCGTAGGACCGTATTTGGGATTGGGATACTACAATTTTGAAGGATCCAAATCTCGATCCATATCGATTTTACAGTGATTTTGTATACGATTCGGATCGATTTGTTAAATTGGATCGTAGGATTATGGGATCGTAGGAGTTGGATCGCGCGTTTAATAATCATGGCTGGCAGGTCTCTGGTCAACAATGTGGAGTGCCTTTGAGATAACAGAGTATGCATTTGACTGTAATGAAATGAGAAGCACAAGGAACCTACATATGTTGATGGACTTGATTAACCGCGAAAGTGATATTGGGCCTAGCAAAAGTGAGTTATTGAAGAGTCCCAAATAGAGTACGATAATGGCTAGGATCGGTATAGGGTGGATCATGCAACACTGTAGAGGTGGACTTAGAAACAATGGGTGTTGAAATAGGTTTGGAAGAAGCAAGGGAACTACAACTAAGGAGATCTATGCATTTGGTTTGTGAAAGAAAAAGACCCCAAGAATTAAAGTGGGTAGCAATGCCAAGAAAATAATTTAATGAATCGAGTTCAGTCATAACAAACTCATGTTTCATGTTATGTAGAAGAGTTGTCGATAACATAGTGAGAAACTGAGAAGAATGTCGTCAACATAGAGTAATAAGATAGCCATATGGGACTGAGTATGCTAGAGAAACATAGAGGCATCCAATTTACTACAAATAAAATTGAGTTTGAGGAGAAATTGAGCAGAGTGAGTAAAGCAAGCATGGGGGGCCTAAACCATAGAGGACCTTGTTCAGATAATAAACATGGTTTGAAAATTGAGGATAGATAAACCCGGGGGTTGATGCATAAAAACAACATCCTTTAAGTTGCCATGAAGGAACACATTTTGACTTCAAGTTCGTGAATGGGCTAATTATGGCAAAGGACAATGAAGAGAATTGTTCTAATGGTGGTGGGTTTAACCACAGAGCTAAACGTTTCATCATTATCAATCCCTAGTTTTTGATGACATCCTTGTGCCACAAGTCGAGCTTTGCAACTTTCAAGAATTGGTACTTAGAGGAGGAGGAAGCAAATTCCAAGTGTTACTTTTTATAGAAGCTGCATACTCATCACTCATAGCTTGGAACTAGTGAGGTATGGAAAGAGCTTTATGGTGTGTTTTGGGTTCATTGGACATAGTGGTAGTGAAATTAACAGAGAAGTGGGAAGGAAGGAGAAAATATTCATTACAACGGTAATACCACATGGCAAGGTGATGTGGTATCACTAACTAATAATATTAAAACAATTAAGTAGATGGACCCCACAAAAATTAATAATTAACTTACCATGTAAACAAATAACTCCCCACTCTTCTGTCATGTAAATCCAAATGGGGTTCACTTTGTCTATTTAGAGTATTATTATTAATTGGTGATACCATGTCATCAATGGTGACATGGTATCACTGTTGCATTCAATATTTACTCGGAAGGAAGGACCTTTGGACGCCTAGTGCCATCTTGTTGTTGGGTAATCATGGGATGACATTTGGTTGGTTGACGAGAAGATAATTGGTGAGTAGGATTAGGATGAGGGGATTACGGGTCATTCCAATTAAGACGATCAAAAGAAGTTTGGATGAGAGGGGGTGACGAAATTGTTGGTGCATGAGGGAGAGGATTGGGTTGAGATTTAGATGAGGAGAAGCGACTGAGTGGATGAGAATTAAAGTTGGATGGGGGAGTATCGTGTGGTGAGAAAACATGAGGCAACGATGTGGGGGAGGTTTAGCAGATGTTATGGATGTATCATAGAATGAAGGGGAATGGAATTTTAAAAGATACCACTGATTAGATAAACTTGAGACGATAGGATGAGATTTGGGGGAGAGTTTCAGTATGAAAGGGCACAAAACCATGAGGAAAAATAAGATGACATGTGGATTTGGTTAGAGTTTGATATGGGAATGGAACTTCATCAAAGACAACATGCTGTGAGATCTCAATTTTATTGGTGTGTTGATTTAGACACCAGTAGCCACTATAATCGGGTATCCTAAAATGATACAAAGAGTAGATTCAGGGGCTAACTTATGTCGAGTGGTGGAACTCAAATTCCCATAACAAGCGCGCCCAAACACATGGAGATGAGAGTATGTAGGTGGTTTGTTGTATATGAGTTCAAACAGAGCTTTATGTTGGAGCTTTTGTTTGGGTAGAAGATTTAGGAGATGAATAGAAGCATGAAGTACTTCAACCCAAAACATAGGCGGCAGTGATGCCTGAAATAGAAGGGGCATATTAGAAAAGGAAGTCTAATGCCAAGTTGACATGCATGTCAAGTAGAGAGCTGGGGGGACTCCACGGCTTTATTATGCAGCAAATAGTATAGAGTATTAGTTCGCTGGTGACCAAGACGATGATGCCATAACTGAGGAGATACCGAGGAGACAGCAAGTGCAGGCTTGAGGGATCCAACACAAGCGAGAGTGAGAGGAATTGAATAAAGGGGTACGAACCTATTGCACCTGAGAAGCTCCCTCTTCATCTAGAGGTCCTTGACAGAAAAACCAAAAGAGTCAAATTCAATACTACACTTGTTGTCATGAGTGAATTGACGAACATAAAGTAAATTTTTTTGAAGCTCTTGAACAACAAGAATATTTCGAAGATGGAAAGTGGAAGTGGGAGAATTAAGGTGAGAATTACAATGTGTGAAATGGGTAACAAAGACTCATTGCCAACTTGAATTTGGTCAAGACCATGGTAAGGAGAAGGCGAAGGGAGAATACTTGAGGGGGGAGTCATATGAGATGACGCGCTAGTGTCGGGATACCAATTTGCATCATAAGAGTCTTGCATATTGGAATGAACAATGGAGCCTGGGTTATTGTCGGATACAAATGCTCGCTGAGTGTGAGGACATTCATGGTCAATGTGGTAAACTTAAAGCACAACTGAAATTTCACAGGGTTGTTGTTTTATATTGGGACTGTGGAGAAAATGAAGGCCTGCTGCCAAGAGTGGAGTTGCCACGATCCTTGGTACTGGGAAATTGTTGCCAACCAAGTGTAGAAGATGGCTGCTTTGAATGAGAGGAAAATTGGTTTGAAAAGTTGGACCTCCCACGTCCTCTATTTGAGTAATTGTCTTGACAATAATTAGATCTTTGATCAGGCCAATTATGAGAGCGATGAGAAGAATCCTGACCACCTCGATTGGAAGTGGTGTTGTGGTTTGCAACAAAAGCTGTGCCAGCTGTTGAAGAGGTGTGGATTGCGAGCTGTTGTATCCGACTTTCATGAATGAATAGTAGTGAGCGAGCCTTGACAAAAGAAGGAAAGGGCAGTCTTGTTGAGATTGCAATGTCGAAACTTTCATATTCAGAAGGTAGTCCAGTCAAAGCTTGCATAACAAGATCTATGTCCAAAATTGGATTTCCACAAGATGGAAATGAATTTGCCAAGATTTCAGTTGTTGAAGTAGTTCACCATTGATTTGTCCTCCTTGGAATGATAATGAAACTCCATCTTTAGTTGAAGTACACGCGAATTAACTTGGTAATGAAAGAATTGTTCGATAGTAAGCCAAACTTCACGAGCTGTTTGGGTTTGGTTTGGCTTAATGATTGCATGTAGGATAGCAGGAGATACTGTAGCTTGAATCCATGATATCTGCATCCATAGTTTGTATGCTGGAATAGGAATAGGATTACCGGCTTCATTATTAACAATAAGTGGGGGAGAGATAGAGGTGCCATTCACATGATCATAGACATCATGCCCTTTAAGAACTAGAAGAAAAAGCTCATTATGCCAGTCCACAGGAGATAATTGGAAAAATAAAGAATAACACAGATGTAAGTTTTTTATGTTAGAGATTCCCAGAGCCGGATGAGATATTATTAAGATGTCATTAAGAAAGAAGAAGACACTTGAGAATGAGAAGGAGAGGATGCTTATATGGCAGTAGAAGAATTAGGTGATGCCATTAGAATGATGAAGATAATGAAGAGAAGAATTAGACACGAGAAGAATGAGGAAGTGCAGAAGATTTGGATAGCCTCTGATACAATAAAAGAGAGATTGTAAAATCCACCACGGTGGTTCAATGTATTGATGTCATTATATATACCAACAGAACAATGCAATTTAAGAGTAGAAAAAATAAAGAATAAAATATCCGATCTACATAGTATGTGTACACATTATTTATCTTTTAAATGGAACCCAATGAATTTAAAGTTGAACTTAGTCAAAATGAATAAAATTTGAAATTGACATTTTGGAGTGTTAAAAGTAGGGTTAAAGTTGTGTTTGGGGATCACCTAACAAGTAATAATATTACATGATGATCTTGATTGGTATACAACATGTCAATAGCTATTTATTTATATTTACGTATAAATATCAGCATATGTGAAAAATTTTTGATTTCTTATTCCATTCTTATTTAATAATGTTAAGTCAATCATACCTCACAACCCTTATTAATGTCATTATTTTTCCTTTCATGTCGTATCAAAACTCTTCTTATCATATAACATTAGGTCTCTAGCCATTCGTTCTACTTATTCTTATAGCTTTAAGTTTTTAATTAAAATAGTAAATCTAATAACTCAAATTACTGTATAATACATATATACTAGCGTTGGTTTCGTGCGATGCATGGAAACTGCACACCTCCCCCTCCCCCTCCACCTTTCCCTTTCTTTTTTTCCTATTGTCATCATACCATTTCAAAAGTTGGATAAAAAATTATCAAAAAAAATTAGGGGATAAAATAATTATGTAAAGTTATGGTGGTGAAACTATGTTTCTAAAAAATTTAAATTAGTAGCTCATTTTTTTAAAAAATTTGAATGAGTGATTTTAATTAGTGGGGTAGAGGGGTAGTTACATGTGATATGTGTTAGAATATAATTGGTTAAGTGATAATTAAATAATTGACAATTCAATGGGAGGGAAGGCTTCTCAAGCCACCTCCCACCTAATTTGATTGTTTTATAGTATAGTAAGATTAATAACTAGGTTTATTAAAAATTAAAATAAGAATTAATTCTCCAACACAGTTTATTTATTCAATTCAATTACACATATAATCGATATTTTTTATAAGTTTAAAAAATTATTATTTAAATATGTTCACTTGCAACATATGTTGTGTATTACTAGCCTAATTTTTATAAAATCAATTATAATCTTATACCTTCATATAATTTTTATTTTATACATAATTTGACTTTTAAGTTCTTTTAAGCTCTTTTATAAGTAGTATTTGACTTTTAAATTCTTTTGAACTCTATTATAAGTAGTACACTTATAGAAATTTTTTCATATTTATGCTTATATCTATATGAAGCAAAGTCAAATTTATATTATATTGTTATATACATATAGTCTTTTTTGATTCTATGTTATATACATATAATCATCAAATTGGATTCTAAGATCAAATATATGTCATATATATTTTTTTAATAATTAGGTTTAACAAAAAATAAAATAAAGATTAATTTTTGATACCAAATTTAGCATTTAATTTAATTGCACATAAAATTTATATTTTCATAGATTCAACAAAAAAAATATTATTTAAATTGTTTACGTGCAATGCACGTCGCGCATTGCTAGTCTTACTAAAAGTGATAATATTAACATTATACTTTTCTTTTTCATTTTAGGGAAGCCTTGTTGCCACAACCTCATATCCAGTTTGGAAATAAACCCTTCTGTAATTAGAAAGTCATTGTTCACATGGATTGTGATAACGTTTCACATTGCTGTCAAATCAAAAATATCAATGGAAATTGAGATGATATCTAACATGAAATTTTGGAGTTTTGAAAGAAGGTTGTGTGAGGTTGCGGTGAGGGATATCCTAACTTGTCATAAGGCTACATAAGGATCAAAATTTCGTTTCAGTGTATTATTTCGATCACCAAATAAACGGAAACGTTTCGATGTATTTCAGAAACGTTTTGACCCGTTTCAGAAACATAATGAAAAAAATAAAAAATTTAAAAATTATTTTTCTAAAACATTGATTTAAATATATCAAAATATCTTGAAATATCTTGAAATATTCCAAAATAATTGTACAAATGCATTGAAATATTATAATACATCTTGAAACATTATGAAATGACTCGAAATATTAGAATTTCGATTCCATCACTGATTCGTTTCGATCTCCTTGGAAACGGAAACATTTCAGACGTTGCTACCGTTTCGAAACGATATTTTGATCGTTGATGCTCAATAAGTTCTTGATGGGCATTCTGATGTGTCAATACCATTTTTCGTCCCAAGAGTGATGACAGTAGCTTTTTTTTTTGGATCAACACCCGCCACAGCAGTGGGGTTGTTGTTCCCACTTAATTCAGTTGATCTAATAGTGCTCCTTTTTCTTTGTTTATTTGAACTTACCAGGATGATCTACGACTTCTCTTTAATGCTTATAAGGTAGCATTCGGGTTTCTTGATGGTATGTATTGTATTCCTTCTTGAAGTTAATGTTTGTGATCTAACTTTTAAATCCTACATTTGATTCCCATTTTGTGTTCCACTTTGATCTGTCTGCTTGCACAGCTGTTGGACAAAGTGAAAGCAAGCTGGCGCAAGCGGCTAGAGAAGCAAGCTTTGAAGATGAAATTTTGGAAGAGGTTCGGAGAGCAGCTTTGGAAGATGAACTCTCGGATGAAGCCAGAGAAACAGGCTTTAACATTGACCCAGATAAACTTGCATCAATGGTCCGTAACCATGAAATCAAGTCCTTGAGATTATTCAGAGGAGTTGAAGGACTTGCAAGCAGAGTAAAAGTCTCATTGAATGAAGGAGTCAAAACAAGTGATGTGGCTATCAGGCAGAAGTTCTATGGCTTTAACAGATATAGTGAGAAACCTTCTAGAGGTTTTTGGATGTTTGTGTGGGATGCTTTGCAGGATTTAACTCTTACTATTTATATGGTCTGTGCTGTGGTTTCAGTAGTGTTGGGACTTGCCACTAAAGGATGGCCAAAGGGAATGTATGATGGGTTGGGAATTGTACTTAGCATATTCTTGGTGATCCTTGTTACTGCAGTCAGTGACTACAAGCAATCCTTGCAATTTCAGAAAAGGATATTTATTAAGGTTACCAGAGATAAGCTTACGGAAAAGGCCTCCATATATGACTTGGTTGTTGGAGATGTCGTTCATTTATCCACGGGAGACCAAGTTCCAGCTGATGGGATATTAATTTCAGGACTCAACTTGTTGGTTGATGAGTCCAGCTTGTCAGGCAAGAGTGTGCCAATAAATAAACACAAAACAAACCCTTTTCTTCTTGCTGGAACCAAAGTGCAAGATGGGTCAGGTAAGATGCTGGTAACAACTGTTGGTGTGAGAACTGAATGGGGTAAACTGATGGTGACTCTAAGTGAAGGTGGAGAAGATGATACCCTACTGCAGGGGAAGCTGAATGGTATTGCTACAAATATTGGTAAACTTGGATTGGTTTTTGCTGTGCTGACATTTACGGTGCTAACAGTGAGATTCCTGGTAGAGAAAGCACTTCACAAAAAATTCAGAGATTGGTCTTCCAGGGATGCACTGACAATTTTAAACTACTTTACTGGTACGGTAGCCCCAGAAGGACTCCCACTGGCAGTGACACTAACCATTGCCTTTGCAATGAAAAAATTGATGAATGAGAAGGCAATCAATAGGCTTCTCTGTGCATCTGAGACGATGGGTTCTGAATGTAGCAAACCAGAAGTTTGCAGCAAAACTCCTGAGTACCTGAAGGAAATGGTACCAACAATGTATGAAGAAGTAAGACGAACACAGCTAGGGCATGCTAAATGTATTGATATTTTTTGTATATCAACTTATGAAATCTACCACTTTACATAAATATGATTCTAGTATTATACACCATAAGGAAATCAATACCTATGATCAATAAATCTTATATCTACTGATTCAAAATTTTACACCAATAGGCCATAGTAGTCAATAATAATGGATTTTCTATAGACCTAGTATGGTAAATTAATCTTCTCAACTCCTCTTTTCAGTAAAACTTTATGTATCTTTTGCTTTTATCAGTAAATTTAAGTTAAACTTAACCATGATTAGTTTTTTAACAATTGATAGATTTTTTGATTGTATAAGACAGTCAAATTTCAACTCCTTGTTAATTACATGTCAACACGAGTTTATTTTTTTATCATTGACACAATTTACCGAAGTGTCGGACATGTGGTTGAGAATGTACGAAAAGTGCCGATGTCCAACACAAATACATCACTTATTTAATAGGGTACTTGCTTCTTGGCCCAGAACTAAGGTTCACATAATCACATTAGATTGCCAACAGTTATATGTTTCAATGCAAGATGTTATTTGTAACGAGTAGTTTTGTTGGTTGGTTAATTTGTCACATTTTATTCATGGAGTGTAATTTAATGGTAGATGCACTTGCTTTCTATAATGACTAATAGATACCTGCAATGGCTTGGTCTTCACCTATGGACCAGCACACTTTGGTAACCCACTCGAGGAATACATTTCAAGAAGTTGATGGAGTTACTAGTGATGGGACCAATGATGCTCCTGCTGTGCATGAAGCAGACATTGGACTCGCTAGGGACATAGGAGGAACAGAGGTTTGTGTGTCTGCTCTTTCGCTTTGCAATTTTTGTATACTTGGTCATTTCAATGATATTTCTTGTTTTGCTTTCTCTAGTTGATGTTCTTTCTTCCATCGGGCACTGATTAGAACTTGTCGTATTAGACTCTGATAAGTTATGTCTAATATCGTCGATTATTATTAATTTATTGGCTTGCTTTATTTCCAATTTCCTTTTGAGTCTGTCTGAGATAGGATTGGAGCTACTGTCCATACTTGTCTAGTTTTTCTTGGTTTTTTTGAAATGTGGTTTCTAATATATTCTTATCTTTATAAACTCCCTTTTGTATTGATCAAATAATTTTCTATACTGATTCATAATCAATGACAGGATTAGATTTACAAGTGATAACCCAAGTGTCTCAAGAGTTTGGTTTTACCTTCAGTACAAGTGAGGATTTGTTCCATACTGACCCCCCATGATTTTCTCATTCGTGAAGAATATAATCCATGAAAGCTTCCTATGGGCTCGTTACTTCTGTAGTTGCAATCTGCTAGACTATTGCACTATTTTGCTAATATTATTGCCTATTTTTCATTATATTTTGTCCTACTTTCACCCAACTAATATTTACAGGATGCAAAAGAAAATGCTGATGTCGTGGATGCCAATTCTACCACCAGAGTGGAAGTAGGTAAATGGGGACCTGCTGTATATGCAAATATTCAGAAGTTTGTGCAGTTCCAGTTAACTGTCAACGTTGTCGCTCTCATGATCAATTTTCTTTCTGCCTGCATCTCAGGTGGGTTGGTCGAGTTGGCTTTCTCGTTCCTGCAATACTTACCACCAAACATCATCATCATCATCTTCTTCTTTGTAATTTTCAGGATCTGGACCCCTTACAGTTGTGCAGCTGCTATGGGTCAATCTGATCATGGATACACTAGGTGCATTGGCACTGGCTACCCCACCACCGAATGAGGGACTGATGAATAGGTCTCCTGTTAGGAGGAATGTGAGCTTTATTACCAAGGCCATGTGGAGAAATATCTTTGGTCAGATCATTTATCAACTGGCTGTTCTTCTAGTTCTCAATTATGATGGGAAACAACTTTTGAGACTTAAAGGATCAAATGCTGCAGCCATTCTCAAGACTTTCATATTCAACACCTTTGTGTTTTGTCAGGTATTATTTTTTTATTTCGATTAAGATATTTTTGCTAGTGGTGTGCAGTATCTTTTGTTGCTTTTTTTGTTGAATCATTAATCTCTTACTTGGGTGAATAGATGAAACTACAAGAATCCGAAAAAAAATGATTCAGAATCCACATCAGTAAATGGAAAAGAGTTCCCTGAAAGTGCTTCTAACAGAACTTTGTGGTCGATTTGTTATTATTGTTTCTTAGAACGAGCCTAGGAGAGCATAGTTCGAGAAGAAAATAATAACCTTGCATACTGGCATTTCTTAGACTTCTGGATCTGTTGGTCAATTCTCAGGTGTTCAATGAAATAAACAGCCTGGCATTGAGAAGATGAACATTCTTCGTGGCATGTTCAATAGCTGGATATTTATAGGCGTCGTGGTTTTCTCAGTGGTACTCCAAGTAATCATAGTCGAGTTCCTGGGGACTGTTGCTGGTACTGTTCCCTTACGGTGGCAGCTATGGTTAATCAGCATTTTGATTGGAGCAGTGAGCATGCCCGTTGCACTAGTTTTGAAATGCATCCTGTTGACATAAAGCTCGCTAAGCGCCATAACCGTTCCCGTCCCCGCGCGAGCAGTGGTCTAGAACTTGTTTGAAAA